AGCAGGAATTACTGGCTCAAACTAAATCAGCAGGCATTAGGGCAGCTCACTGCAGTGTTTTTTAAAGGGGGGAAGTGGGGCTTTGCCTGGCCTTGACAAGACCTATTCATCTTGCTAATTCAATGGAGGTGTCACAACCAGATGCCTCCAAGATTTCAGATATTGGACCACCCCTCTTCATTTGTGTGCTTTTTTTTCCCTCTTGGTGTGTGCTGAAACCTCTTGCTCTCTCCAGCACTTTCCTGGCTGGCTTAGGATGTTGTGTTTAGCAGGACAGGTTGGTCCAAGCTACTTTGACTGGTTTCTTTCCTTGAGCACTTGCTGTACTGGAACTCTAGGAAGTTTGTGTTTCTTTCAAGATGCTTGAAGAATTTTTCAGGATCATTCTTGGAAGCTGTCCCTGCTCCTTTCCAGCCCCAGGGATCATCTCAGGATGATGATTGACCAAGTAGAATAAGCCTAACTAGAGTAATCCTTTTAATGCCTAAGAAGAATGATCCTTAATCCAACAAAGCTGAGCTTTCCATTTCTGTGAGGGGGAAAAAAACCACATCGGGGAGTGATGGAAGAAGGTCCCAGTGGGATTATTTCCCTCTTTCTTCAGCATACTTTGGTTTTGTAGGCAAGCAGGGGGAGGACAGAAAGGCATTTCCAAGCAGCATGTCACTTGGCCAAAAGAAAGGAGGGATACTTGGATATAACACCTTTCCCCAGGGGATGGGCACTTGGGAAAAAGATGGACACGGAGGGCAAAGGCAGCACCTTCCTAGGGGGTGGATCTGATGACAGCAAAGCACCTGCTCCTGTTTGGCACGTGCAGGAAGGCAGCTCTTGAAGGTGTTGAAGGCTTCCCTCTAGGAATGGCTTTCCATAGGGTCAAAACAACTTCTTTTTGAGATACATTTGTGAGATTAAAGAACAAAATGAGCTGAAAAGCTTCCCCTGCCTTCACCTGGGAGGTGAAACGGCGCTTCCAGGGGAAGCAAATGTCCCTGTCTTTCTAGGCTTTTTGGTCCGCACCAGTGGGTGCTTTTCTATGCGTTTGTGCCCTAAAAATGCACATTCTCCAGGTTTATGGAGTAGCCTGCAAAAAAGTCTTTCTCTGGTGACCCTCTTGCCCTTTCATTCCTCTCTCCCTAGAACGGGACCGTGACCTGGAGCGACGACGGCGACGGATGCCGAGGCAGAGAAATTTCACGAGACTTTGCCAAGGTCAGTCTGATCCCAGGGAGGTGGGGAAGTGGGAAGGGAGTGACTTTGGGGGGAATTCTTCGTCTAGGACAGAGCTGAGCCCTCCCTATTCCTCTACAGTGAACTGGTAAGGAAGCTTCTCTGTAGCTCTTTGCCTGCAAACCTCCTGGTTTTCTTCTTTATAACCCAAACCTGGGCTGTTTTGTTGCCTTTGCCCACTTGGAGTACAGTTCAAACCAAGACTTTATAACCAGGCTTCTGGAGTTTCAAATCTCACTCCAGCTGGGAGAAGAGGATTTCCTTCCTTGAACCTGCCCCACACTCTGCTTCTGGGCCTGAATCTGGCAGCCATGGGTCTCACCAGCCAGAGGAATCCAAACTAAACTTTTCTGAAAGGGTGCAGCTAATTACTCTGCAAATACACTGGGGTGTTTTCTGCCCAGTGTGTGAGAAAGCACAGAGCTTCACTTGAAATGAGCCCCAAAAAAGCCCTTTTCCTCTCTTTTTAGATTAGCTGGACACTAACTGACACCCCTGGAGAGGCTGGAATATATATTTTCCAGTGAAGCTTTGCTTTTTCATTGAGCTGCTCCTCCAGGCTACCAGAAGAATTCCCTGGAGTGATGCAGGAGTTTCCCTTAGTGCAAACAAGAGCAGGAATCAAATTCTGCTTCATGTGTAGTGTTGTCTTCTGTCATGTTCTGTATCTCAGACTGACTCCAGCCCAGTCAACCTGTCATTTCTTGGCCCCACAGGATTCTTGATAGGTGAAAATTAGATTTTCCTCTTCAAGAGGTGGCTGTGAGGTGACTCTCATACCCTGTGCCTTCTGAAAAAGAGTATCCTCTCTACTGGCACAAGGTGCCTGTCCTTTGGAATACGCTACCCATGGAACTTGGTTTCAAATGGTTGTTTTTTAAAGCCTTTTGGTAGAATGATTTCTGCAGCAAATTGGCTTGAGGCTGGTTTCTGATGTTTTCCAAAGCTTTTAGTCTTATTTTTGAGGAGCCTTTCCTGCCAGGCATTAGTAGTTACAGGAAAGCTCTGTCCTTTCATCTCCTCCTTCAAGGGACTTGGAGTTTGTCACTTATGTGACAAACCCAGAAGGAGGGACTGGTGAGGCCAGGAGAAGCTGCAGAGAAGTTTACCTCCCTGGTACCTCAAAGGTACAGGCCACTAATCTGCCCTGAACCACTGCTGCCTTCCTTTTGGGGGTCTTATCTTTCCCTCCAGCTTGTCTTTATATGCAGTTCCTCTCCCTTTTTTGCAGCAGTGGTGCTGAGTTGAATCCTGCTCCCTCAGGGTGTCAGGCTGGGGTTGGATCTAGATGTTCTTTAAGGTCCCTTCCAGTCCAAACCATTCTGTGGTCCTGTGTGACCTTAGAGCACCTTCCAGTGCTTGAAGGGGCTCCAGGAAAGCTGGGGAGGGACTTGGGACAAGGGCAGGGAGGGAGAGGACAAGGGGGATGGATGAAAACTGGAAGAGGGAGATTGAGGTGAGACATGAGGAGGGAACTGTGGAGTGTGAGGGTGGTGAGAGCCTGGCCCAGGTTGCCCAGGGAAGCTGTGGCTGCCCCATTCCTGGGGGTGTTGAAGGGCAGGTTGGAGGGGGCTTGGAGCAACCTGGGCTGGTGGGAGGTGTCCCTGCCCATGCAGGGGGTTGGAACTGGCTGATCTTTAAGGTCCTTTCCAACCCAAACCATTCCATGAGTGACTGAGGGGCTGAGCTAGAGAAGCTGCAAGGAGGGTCCTCAGAGTGTCCCTGTAGCCTCGTCCACTGAGTTGCTCAGGGGTCCATCTGTGTTTTCCTCTTTGCCTGTGGCTGCCTCCCCCTCCCAGTCCAAACACTAGATCACCCCTTGGAATAAGCTGATACTACTTGATTTTCTGTCTCACTTTAGGTGGTGCCTTCATGTTTCTTTTTTCCCCCCAGCTCTATGAACTGGATAGTGACCCTGAACGGAAGGAGTTCCTGGATGACCTCTTCATCTTCATGCAGAAGAGGGGTGAGTGTGAACTTGGGAAGGTGAAATGGGGCAAAGGGGTGCTGCTGCAATCTGAATCCCTCCCTCCTGAGTCTGAAAGAACAAATCCAGCCCTTGAACTTGCAGATCAGGAGGAGGACTGGAGATATTTGCCTTGGGAGATAAGGAGCTCAGTAGGAAAGGACTCTTCTGCCCTGTAGTGGTTTTTCACAGACACTGTTTTTCAACCCTCACTCCTAATATTCAGGTTATTCACGCACTGAAGAGCCCAAGAATCCTGGCTCTCCAAGGGCTTTTGAAACAAAGCTGAGGTAAAACTGGGGCTTCTCTGCTCTCCCCTTCAGGTGGCCTGATCACACACATCTTCCCATGTTTGCTTTCAGTGGCACGTGGAAGCTGAGTGTGAATGCCTGCAGAGAGTAGTGGCATGTAAGCTGGGGACTGGGAAAACAGCCACCCAGCCACATTTTCCTGGAGATTCACAGTGTGTCAAGTTTTCTGGTTAGTAATTTGGTGTCACTGAGTGCAGAAGTGCACAGGTCAGCAACCTTCTCAGGTTCCCCCCTGTGGTGTCAGCAACTTGCAGCTCTCCTTGCTGCAGGAGCAGGGATGCAGCTGAGATGTCCCAAAAGTCTCTTTTTTTTTTTTTTTTCCTTGGTTATCAAAGTTCAGTTCCCTCACTTCAAATTATTAATAATGGAAATATGCATATCCATGGTGTCATCAAGCAGCCATCTCTGAACATCTGTGGTGAACCCTTTGTGGTGCTCTCTTCCTTTACCTCTCCTTTCCTTAGTGCCCTGAGAGTCTGGTGAAATATAAATATCATAGAATTAGGCTGGTTTGGGTTGGAAGGGACCTTAGAACATCAGCCAGTTCCAACCCCCTGCATGGGCAGGGACACCTCCCACCAGCCCAGGTTGCTCTAAGCCCCATCCAACCTGCCCTTCAACACTGCCAGGGATGGGGCAGCCACAGCGTCTCTGGGTCAGTGTCTCACCACCCTCACAGGAAAGAATTTCATCTCAATCTCTTCTATTTGAAAATTATCTGATTTCTGGAGCCAGAGTCTCATTTCCAGTCATCCTTTGAACCCTCCACTTTTCCCATTCATCCCTCTGTGGATGGCTGGGTGGCAGGCAGAAGAAAGACTGTCCAGAATGCAGCCACTGCAGTTGCTCTTCATCTCTGTTTGTCTTCCCTGCTGTGAATTTTCTGTGACTTTTCACTCTCCAGGAGTTTCAGGTTATGCTTCCAAGTCAGTTTAAAAGATTAGAACTGGATTTTACTGGTATTTTTGCCTTTCATGTGCAGAAGCATAACTGGGCTTAATTAGTTTACCTGCAGATGTTCACCTGAGCTCACAGGTAAGGGCTGGGATGACTGACAGGACAATAATCTGAAGGGTGTGATTGGCAGCAATAGAAACCTCCAGATGCTTAGAAAAAATCTGCTTAATACTTCAGTATCTCCTTCCTCTTACCTTTTAATTATTTATCATTGACATGTTCCTGGTGCAGGGGCTGAGCTGGTCACCAGCTGGTAGCTGTAGGAGTTGAGCTTTTAATCATCCAAGTGTATTTGTTTTCTGGAGACTCCCTGGTTTTCTTGCTTGCTAGCAGGCTGGAAATGAAATCCAAGAACCCAGCACCCATGGAGGGGGGAGATTCAGGGGGATTGAGAATTCTTGGCCCTTGCTCTGGGGAACTGAATAGACTGCAGGGTACAAAGTTATGGGCTTCCTTGATGTTTTGGCAGCCCCAAAAGGAATAGGGAGAAGGGGTCTGGGGAGCTGAATTCCCTCAGGTTGACAGGAGAACTGGACAGTAGAGGTGAAGCTGTTGGAGGCACCTGAGCTACTGGGTCTTCCTGCAAAGGAAGTCTTTGGGCTTGCTGTGATTGCTCAGGAACTGTCCTCTTCTTTCCCATGCCTGCTCTCCCCACCACTACCTGTAGCAGCAGAGCTTGGGTTTTCTGGGGAGCAGATGGACTTGCCCACTGTGTCTTCCTCTGGGATCTTCCAAACTGTAGCAGCAGAGTTATGACAGGGGTAGCATTCAGGCTTTCCTTTCTGCTCCCCTCACTTGACATGCCAACCAAGCATCCTAAAGCAAACAAGGCTGAACAGCTGCCTTGTTCTGAGAGAGTCCCCCAAAGCTGGATCCCACTGAGGCCTCAGTGCCCCTCAGAGCAAAGTGCTGAGTTTCTTAGCTCCTACGTGTGAAGAGCTGGTTAATTTGCACCTCATGTCTGAAGGGGAATGAATGGAAAGCAGCTCTGCTAATAAACATTGCTGGTGTCAAGATGGGGATTTTGCTGATGGCCAGGAGGAGCTGGAGAAGGGCTGGCCCTTGTTTGGGGCACAGCTTGTTTAACTGGTGCTGAACCAGGGAAGCCTGATGGGGAAGATAAATGACAGATTTCACAGGAGCTACTGAGTAGCTGGAGGGATGAAAAGATTTGGTGGTTGGTGCTGCTATTAGGAATGTACCTAGAGATGTGAAGCCATGAAACAGGCTTTAATGCAGATCAAATGTGCAGGTCTCATCTGCCTCTAAGCACAGCAGGTTGTCACTGAATGACCACAGCTGCAAGTGATAAAATGGCCCTTCAGTGGCAATAATGATGGAAGAGGGAGATGAGAGGAAAGCTGTAACTCTTCCTTTGTTGGATGTTTTATTCCTTGGATGTGTTGAGGTGAATGGGTCCCACCATGGCTGTGATTGAAGGGACAGATGGGAAGAGGAGGAGAGAGGAGCAGAGGGGGGAGTAGTTAGTGGTCAGGACTGACTGCAAACCAGGCCTGACCTGGTGCAGCTCAGCAGGGATGTTGCTAGCTTGCTGTCTTACCACTTCCACCTTCCCCTTCTCAGCTCCTCAGTGGGTTCAAACCAAATGTTGTCCTTCCTCCCAGTTTCAGCAGTGTCTTCCCTGCATCTCTGCTGCTGAGCTGGTGTCCTGAGACAAGCTGAGCCTCCTTGGCTTGGGATCTGCTTTCTCAGAAGCTGGACTTGTAGCTTTTGGTGCTTGAAGAGCCTGTCCATGGGCTAGGTGGTGGTTCAGGGCATTTTTGAGGCTTCTCTGCTAGTGAGCTGCACAAAAGCTGGATTTGTTCTGCCTGCCACTGGGGAGGCCACAGGCAGGAGCAGTTTGCCAAGCACCCAGGCTAGAGCTGCATCTGTGACAATGAGTCAGGGTGATCTTGTGCTTTGTGTTGCTGAAAAAGAGTTTTATTACAGAAATAACCTGTAGCCAGATGGGCAAGTTCATGTGCTCCCATCAGACTCAGTGTTAGGGTTGATCATAGAATGGTTTGGGTTGGAAGGGACCTTAAAGCTCATCCGGTCCCAACCCCCCTGCATGGGCAGGGACACCTCCCACCAGCCCAGGTTGCTCCAAGCCCCATCCAACCTGCCCTTCAGCACTGCCAGGGATGGGGCAGCCACAGCTTTTCAGGTCTCTCACATGTTGTGAACAAGCTAAATGTTGGCTCCACCTTGTTTATTTTGTATGATAGAAGATACAGGTGTGATGAAACATGCAGCTCTTAGCCCTGTGGCATAGACTGGGTAGCACAGCTGGACTGCTTGTTGTCCCCAGATAGCAAAGGACTGCTGGTGACATAACTCCTAGTAGAGCCACCAAGGCAGCCAGCAGGATTTGAGCTGATTGTCTCCCAGAGTTGGACTTTCATCCCCAGGAAGGATCAGCAGTGTCTGGGCAAGACATTCCCCTTGAGAAGAAGTTTGCTGGGGGAAGAGCTCAGACTTCTCTGGTGTGTTAGGAGAGGCTCCCTCCTAACAGGGGAAGCTGTTTTGTTCATTTGAAGTGCTGCCTTTGTTGAAGACCTCATAAAACTTCTCCAATTGTACAGCTCTGCTAATTCTGTTCAAGGTTCCTGCCTGACCTTGGTTTTCCCAGATGGCTTGACCATTCTGGGCTTTTATGTGTGTATACATAGAAGGGGCTTTGTAAGCCTGGCCGTGTGGTTTTAATGTTTTCCTGCTGTTGTGTGCTCTGCCTGCACGTTTTAGATGTGGAAATACAACAAATCCAGGGTATTGACAAAAGCATTTAGTGATGGATTCCTTTATCTACAAGCCAGGTTGTGTTTAGGAGATGTTTGGCTGGGGAATGCACTTCATTCTTCTAGTAATGCAGTTTTGCAGGTTGCTTCTTTTTGATCTTCTGAAGATGTTTTTGGATCTGAATTAAGCAATGTAGCTCTTTAAATGAGACATCAACAGACAAATAGTACCTGAAGGGGCTCCAGGAAAGCTGGAGAGGGACTTTGGACAAGGGCAGGGAGGGAGAGGACAAGGGGGAAGGGATGAAAACTTGAAGAGGGGAGATTGAGGTGAGACATGAGGAGGGAATTGTGGAGTGTGAGGGTGGTGAGAGCCTGGCCCAGGTTGCCCAGGGAAGCTGTGGCTGCCCCATCCCTGGCAGTGTTGAAGGGCAGGTTGGATGGGGCTTGGAGCAACCTGGGCTGGTGGGAGGTGTCCCTGCCCATGCAGGGGGTTGGGTCTGGATGAACTTGAAGGTCCCTTCCAACCCCAAACCAGCCTGGGATGCTATGGAACTCTCAGCAACCTTTACTGGTGCTGCCCACTTAGTGCTGAGTCCCAGCAAATGTTGCTCTGAGCAGCAGGTGATGCAGTGGGAAATTCTCACTTGAGCCACTGCAGGGGTCTCTTCTTGGTGGTCCAAATCAACCAGGTGAAGTCCTCTTCCCTACTAGACCCTTGGATTTGTCCACAGTGACATCTCCCCCTCTTGTATTTCCTTTAAAGAGCCTCTTAGGCCAACTGGGCTGCCTCAGACTCAGGAGGAAAGGTGCCCAGATGATGGGCAGTGGACCTTGAGGCTTTTACCTTTACATGATGACTTGTCCTTAGGCTCTAGGGGGACCTGCCCTTCTGGGTTACATTCCTCTGTATTCTCCCTCTTCTCTTTCAGAAGAGGGAACAAAGTGCATTATTCCATGGACTTAAACACTTGTAAGTGATGCCAGCATAAAA